AGCGCTAAGAATCTACATTTTCCCCGAGTTGAGGCTAACCCTGCTCATACCTTAGGTCTTATGGGAATACAGGGATAATCTCAACTCGGGGAAAATGCAAATTTTCAAGTCTATTGTAATAACGACATTTTCTCGTGCTCTCTTTTGTGTTAATTGTAAAGTCTTTGCGCAAGAGAATCTGTTGTCAAATAAAGCAGCGGTTATTCGCTATGAATTCGAAACTGGAGTATTACCTACTGTCCCCTTCCCCCATAGTATAATGAATTACCTTCCTTTACATCTTACTGGTACACATAGTATATTACGTGTAGTGTAGCCTGTAGTCATGTCCACTTCGCGGTTAAATCGTGGATCCCGATAGGCATCTCGTATGTTGAGGATAACTCCTTTCGAGGCCACATATCCCGCAATGCCTTTCGACACGGAAAACCTGAAATCATTGAACTTCATTTTAATCAATTGCCCTATCGCATAATGACGTCTCGTCTCTGAAAAAATTGAAAATTTGGACTAAGACCCTGTTTACATGAGATAGGACGCCCCTACGTGGTTGGGCTAACTCTTTTGTTTTCTTTTCCCTGGAGGATTTAAAACAAAGGATTTTGGCCCTACCACTAGGGGCACCCTATCTCATGTAAACAGGGTCTAAGTATTCTTCTTTTTGAAAACGTTGAACTTCCAACGATCTACTTTTTCAGATTTTAAGTGTTTTCCTTTGTATTTCCGCCAGGTTGTCTCAACCTGACCATAATCCTTAGCTTTAAGGCAAGAGAGTGCTTTGATGCGACGTCAATCATGTTATATTACGTCACCTCACGTCTTCATGTTATATCTCCATCACCTTACCTTATTTCGCGTCCATTTCTAAATTTGAACCCAGTCCCATCTTCGTCTCCCTCGTCAAAAAGGTTCGAGTAAAGTTCGTTGTTTTTGTTGTCCAACATGAATAGTGAACAGCGGTCTGCGTTGACAAGCTTCTTAGCGAATGCCTATGACAATATATGTAATAAAATGAGTTATATGACTGATCGAGCTATGTTAGTCTTAATGCCCGTTTACACTTGAAATTTTTGCAGAGCGATTCTCGCGGCGATCGTCGCGCGACCATCGCCAGAGTTTCGAACATGCTTGAAAATTGGCTGCAATTTCGCGGCGATTTTCCATCGCCACAACAATCGCAGGGCTGTTTACACGTACGATTTTAGTAGTTGCGCGTGGTGGGGATTATCGCGCTTCAAAAATCGCAAGTGTAAACAGGCCTTTAAAGGTTCAATGCTTTGATCGTGGTCAATGGGCCTGGGTATGGAAAGTCGTGAATTCATCCGAGATACATACCATAATTTTTTCAATGACGACGTCCATGGTACAAATTTCGTCAAATATTGACCTGGTAAATATCAGATGATTAACTGACTAGTTCGTTGATTGACAGGTTGATCGATCGATCAATTGATTGACTGCATGAACTGATTGATTGATGGCTGGTTGATTGATTGATGACTGATTGTTTGTTTAATTGATTGATTGATGACTGGTTGTTTGGTTGATTGATTGATTGATTGATTGATTGATTGATTGATTGATTGATTGATTGATTGATTGATTGATTGATTGATTGATTGATTGATTGATTGATTGATTGATTGATTGATTGATTGATTGATTGATGTTTGATCGATAGATTGATTGATTGATAATTACTGGTTGACTAATGGATTGATTTATGGATTGATTTATGGATTGATTTATGGATTGATTGATGGATTGGCTGACCTTTACCTTACAACATTTAATAAGAAGCTGTTCAAGTCTTTTTGCTTTTGAATCTGTTTTGAAATCTGAAAGATAAACAGATTATTTCAAAATTAGGATTTCTATGATAAATCAATGACAGTGTGAGTTAGATCATGATTAACCAATGTTAGTGCACGTAATCTCTTTCAGCCCTGGCCAATCATATTATGGCTCATATAATTGAGAAATGACCAATGGGAACACGCGTCGCTTTTGTTACTGACGACTTACGAATGATAGTTCGCGTTATATTGTCAATGACTGACCAATGAATACTCGCGTTATATCTATTTGTTGATGACGAACCAATGAAAACGCGCGTTATATTACTGATATCCAATAATATTGCTTACCTCTGCATGRTGAATGGCTATACTGCCCCATACCAAGTAACTATTCAGAATCTAAAAAAAAATGAAAAATATTATACGAAATTCTACAAAGAAAATATAAGGAGATACATTTTAAGGCTGATTTACACGGTACGATTTGTCGCGCTCGACTTGTACTATACGATTTTCCTACTACAAGTCGTAGGATTTTAAGCAGTGGTTCAAAAGTAGGTTGCGTACGACTGTTGTAGACAAGTCGTAGGGGCATTTACACTGCGCGATTCAAGTCGTATACTAAAAATCGCACGAGACAATCGTGCCGTGTAAATCAGCCTTTAGGTGCAATAAAAGTAAATCCTATAAGTACTTTGGACTGAATTACCTCTTCATCTTCTTTTTCAAATGGGGTACTCCCCAAGGACTTGACAAGCTCAACAATACCAACCAATATGCCATCTGATTGGATGATCGGCTGACAGAGCACGGACTGGGCTGTACTATCTGTCGAAACAACAAAAAAGTTAATTAGCAAAATGCNACTCAGAGACACTGATAGTACTGAGAGTCTTTCAGGCTCGCTCGCTCAGTTAACTCAAAGATATAGATGTAAAGAACCTTGATACAAGTACCAGCAATAAAGAGAGTTTGTGCCTAACCTGACGTTGTACACGGAGTATCTCTCGTACAGCTACAGGCGTGTAGCTCAAGTCACCCCAACCCAAAAGACCTCATTTTACAAAACACAGGCTATTGTCGCGCGACAATCGCGCTGCAAAAATCGCAAGTGTAAAGGGGCCTTTAAGGCCAGTTTACAATTGCGATTTTTGCAGAGCGATTCTCGCGGCGATCGTCGCGCAACCATCGCTTGAGTTTCGAACATGCTTGAAAATTGGCTGCAACTTTGCGACGATTTTCCATCGCCGCAGCAATCGAAGGGCTGTTTACACGTACGATTTTAGTAGTTGCGCGTGGTGGGGATTATCGCGCTGCAAAAATCGCAAGTGTAAACAGGCCTTTAAGGTTCAATGCTTTGATCGTGGTCAATGGGCCTGGGTATGGAAAGTCGTGAATTCATCCGAGATACATACCATAATTTTTTCAATGACGACGTCCATGGTACAAATTTCGTCAAATATTGACCTGGAAAACATCAGATGGTTAACTGACTAGTTCGTTGATTGACAGGTTGATCGATCGATCGATCAATTGATTGACTGCATGAACTAATTGATTGATGACTGGTTGCTGATTGATTGATCATGATTGATAGATTAATGACTAATTGATTAATTGATTGACTGATTGATTACTGTATGATTATGGATTGATTGATTGATTGATTGATTGATGAATGGATTGATTTATAGACTAACTGATTGATAGATTGAATTTTACCTTACAACATTTAATAAGAAGCTGTTCAAGTCTTTTTGCTTTTGAATCTGTTTTGAAATCTGAAAGTTAAACAGTTCAAAATTAGTAATATTTCTATGATAAATCAATGACAGCGTGAGTTGGATCATGATTAACCAATGTTAGTGAACGTAATCTCTTCCAGCCCTGGCCAATCATATTATGGCTCATATAATTGAGAAATGACCAATGGGGACACGCGTCGCTTTTGTTACTGATGACTAACGAATGATAGTTCGCGTTATATTCTCAATGATTGACCAATGAATACTCGAGTTATATCTGTTTGTTGATGAAGAACCAATGAAAACGCGCGTTATATTACTGATATCCAATAATATTGCTTACCTCTGCATGATGAATGGCTATACTGCCCCATACCNATGCCATCTGATTGGATGATCGGCTGACAGAGCACGGACTGGGCTGTACTATCTGTCGAAACAACAAAAAAGTTAATTAGCAAAATGCCGCCATTGGTGCTTTCCTTCAATGAAGTCATGTTTGATTTGGCGAAGTGATGATGACGATGATGATGTTGATGATGTCGACGACGAAGACGACGACGATTATATTGATTATGACGATGATGATGATGATGATGATGATATTAATTGTGACGATGATGATGATGATGATGTCGACGATGATGATGATATTAATTGTGACGATGATGATGATGATGATGATGTTGATGATGATGATACATACCCTCAATTCCAATACCCTTCGGAAATCTGTCATCCTGAAAAATTTACAAATTAAAAACAAAAACATTTTAAAGAGGTGTTTGTAGGTTGGATTTAACTTCATAATGCACTTTGTTACATCATCATCCTTGGTGATCAATTAATGCACAATAAAGCGAGCTTTCTGTTAGTTGTAACGATATTCATTGTAACCCTGAAGATGACCGCGTAGGTCGAAAGCTCGTTTTCATTCTTTGTATTAAACATCAAGGTTGATGTAGCATAGTACATTATGGAAAAAAAACATTAGAAGATGTAAAATTTACAGTGATGTAATATAAATTTAACTATTTCTTTCCACATTTACAGCGAGGCTACTGAAACCGGGGCCACCTAGAGAATATAAAATCCCACAATTTAGATTGAAAACAAAGGATTCAGACTAAGGAAACCTCATCTCATTAAGCTTAGCTCTTTGCAATATCATTGATCATCGTTTTTTAGCTTTTTAAGCCTTGTTTCAATCGAAATTGTGATTATTTTACATTCTCTAGGTGGTCCCCGTTTCATTAGCCGCAGTGTAATTACCCCGAGAATATCCTTGACGAAAACACTTTCACCACTCTCTGCTACATACGCTGCGACAGTGCTACCTTTACCAATGAGTTGTCGGCAGAGTGTACGACACCTGAAAAAAGACGCCACCGCTGCTTTGTAATAACTTACAATAGTCTCCTTCATGGTTCACTGCACCATCTTGAAAGGTAGCTGTGACTTTACATCGAAGCGAGACAACCATTGAGCGTGTAATGATAGATACCTGTGAATATTGTCTGTAGGTGTGAAAGAAGGTCTCTATCATTGCATGCTCAAGGGTCGTATCGCTTCGATGCAAAGGCATGGGTACCTTTCAAGATGGCGAAGGGAACCGTGAAGAAGACTATTGTGATGGTTTTGAGAATGCAGAAACAAAGCAATGGAAACGAAGCGAAGCGAAACGAACGAAATGAAAAAATACGAAACGAAACAAATCAAATTGAAACAAAAAATAGATAAAACAAAACAAAAAGTGCGAAACGAAACGAAACAAGAACAACTACATCAAAGGAAAGCAATCAGAAAAAAAGGACGTACCTTGGTTTGGATTCGGAGTAGAGAAAGATATCCTAAAAAATGCGATAAGCGAATGTAAAGATTCCACAAATAACAATCCAGAACTGTATAAATAACTTATCAAAAAAAACTTACAGTCCCATTCTTGTCCACAAGATAMAGAGAATGTCTATCAGCGTGGGTCGCTAAAAAGAGAAGTTTAGGAATATTAGTATTTTCGAGAACATGGGTGTTGCGAGGACTCAGGCGACCAGGTTGGCAACGAAACCCTCTAAAACTGGTGAACACGTGGTTTTGTAACAGTCTAACGTTTCCGCAAACCATCATTATTTTTCTTGTTGGAATTACAGTAACAATTCACCAGGGCTACTAAAAATTGCTTCAATCATCCATTCATAGATCTATTCGTTCGTCCCTTCGTTTGTCCATTCGTTTGTCCATTCGTTCTTTCATTTGTTCTTTCATTCGTTTGTTCGTCAATGTTCGTTCCTTCGTTCGTCAATGTTCGTTCCTTCGTTTGTCAATCGTTCGTTCATTCAATTGTTCGTCAAAGATCGTTCCTTCATTCGTTCCTTAGTTCGTCAATTTTCGTTCCTTTGTTCTTTCATGCGTATGTTCGTCAATGTTCGTTCCTTCGTTCGTCAAAGTTCGTTCCTTCGTTCATTCACTCGTTTGTTCGTCAATGTTCGATCCTTCGCTCGTTCATTCGTTCGTTAATAGTTCGTTCGTTCGTTTGTTCATTCGTTCGTTAATAGTTCGTACGTTCGTTCTTTGTTCGTTCATTTCCATCCTTACCTGCAGCTATACTTTTAACCAGTTCATTCATAACACGTGCTTTTTGCGGTTGTTGATTTATGTCCTTCGTYAACTGTTGGAGCATTTTGCGTTTGTCTGAATGAACACAAAACTTCCATCTTGACAGGGAGACATTTACATCTGTTGAGAATTAATGCAATGATCTTGTGAATAACCGGTCTAAGAAGACTGTGCTACGACGAGTAACGATTGAACTACGACGAACAACGATTGTACTATGACGAACAACGATTGCACTACGACGAACGATTGCACTAAGACGAACAACGATTGCACTATGACGATTAACGATTATACTACAACGAACAACGATGACACTACGACGAACAACGGCTGACCCAACACAAACAACGATTGCACTACGATGAACAACGATTGTACTACGATGAACAACGATTGTACTATGACGAACAGCGATTGTACTACGACGAACAACGATTGCACTACGACAAAGAACTATTGCACTACAACGTACTGTAACCAATGAGTTAAGACGGACAACGATTGCACTGAAGACGAATAACGACTATGCTACGACGAACGATTTCCCATAATGCATTGAAAGTTACTTAGGTGACGAAAAGCTTCTGAAAACTTATGAATGACGCATTCTTACGTTCAGACGACGAGGGATCCAAACGACCCAGATGTGTTTTTCTTATAAGCCATCTCTCTAACTGTTCACGACTTGCTATYTCGACTACAAGCTCGTCTAACACGTTAGGATTTGATGATAAGTATTCTTTTACTTGTTGCTCTGAAAGACCTGCAAATTTGCGAACATCATATGCATAAATGAACAAAGATGTATCYAATAAATAAGAAAGTTAAACGGAAAAATAAACAAAACAATAACGAGAAAAAACAAACATATTGATGAATCTACACTTGAATAAGTATAAAATAAATAAAAAATAAAATAAATGCTGAATGAGTGAAGATAAAAATTTACAAAAAAAACTAAACCAAACCAAACCAAAACAAAAAACAACGTAATTAATCTAAACTATGATACATATACGACAAACACTAACGAACACACTGATATCTGACGAAAACGCCGATATCTGACACCTTGAAATAGCAGAAAACCTCTGTCAGCTCTGTAGAACAGACACTGCGATACCAACCTCCAATCTCGATGTAACGGACACCTCGATATAGCAGACACCCCTAGAACAGACAGTGCGATATCGGACAACTCGACGTTACAGACACGAACCTCGATATAACGGACWCCTTGATATAACGGACACCTCGATATAGCGGACACCCCTACAGAACACCTCGATATATTCAAATGGTACCACAATTGTTCCGTGAAAAAATGTCTGAAATGTGAAGCAGGTACTTAAGGTATTGAAAATGCTTTTATCGGATCCATTTTCAAAATACGTCTTTTTCCCGTTCAAAGCGAACAACCGCTGATTTAGTTGACAACGGTCTCTCATGCGCAGAGWCCTGACCAAAAACAAAAGAAAGCACGAAATTCTCTTTCATCTTCTTTTTCTTTCTTATTTTCCCATTTCTTATAAATACAGTTAAGATAATAATAATATTAAAAAAACAGCTAAAAATTCATAGGTCACTTAAACAGGTTTACATTGGTAATCGGTCTGATCATTGCAATATTTCACAAGCGATTGTCAATTTTTGGCCTTCAATAATCACTGTCAAAAGCTTTATTTTCTAATTCAGACGGTCAAGTTTCAATCTTTTTTTTCTACTAATCGCAATTGCGACAGTTTCCTCCTATTACCTTATCTTAGGATAAAAATTCTCACTTTATTTTTAGTTTCCTTTTTTAWACTAGTTCACATTTCAAGATTACGATATTTGCTTCCGACATCACATCTCTTCATTTAAGCCTCAAGTTTTTCTTTTCTCACAATTTCAAGAAAATACCCATGCAAAGTTTTAAACAGCACCTTGTCACACTAGAAGACAGAMRGACCGACAGAAATTTCTAATTCCAATAACTCTCTCTTGAGCTCACCGGCTGAGAGATGGCAAGCAAATTAAAAACATCAAACCTGACAMATAAATTAWAGTTTASTTCGAGAACATGGCATAATTTGAAAATCTTTTTCGATTTCAAGACCATCTGCTCCAATAGAAAAYATATAAACTTATTTCTGAGGTTAAAAAAATACAAAAAATTGCAATAATTATTCTAAATAAAGTGAAATTAACCTTAACTGAAATTTGTATTAATGATCTTGGTTATTTCGGTAAAGTCAAAGAAWATTTGATAGCCTATCCAAAAGTGTCCGAAGTTCGTCAAATATCAGCGAATTTAATAGAAAATAGTTAGTGCATAAGTTCCGGTCCSCATGTAATCTCTCCTTTGTCCTCGATGCAAGGCAAGATAGATTAAGTTGTGATATTTGAAGGTAGAAATTTCAATAAAGCTCTCCGTGTGGTCTTCAATTTACCAAGCTACAACAGCGAAAAATAACAATATTTCAGACAAGACCACAAAGGCTGTAAAAGATGGTTTTGAAACAATTCGCATTATTGTAAAAATTTAAATAAAAACCGCTGGGATTTGCAATTAGCATGGAGTAGGGCCAATTGCTTTAATATCAAAGAGTAAATATTATTTTTTCGGCGCGAAATATTCAGACTTTGAGATCTTATGAATTCATAATTTAAACTTGCACTTTTCATTTTATTTTTTCGGATTTTGTCCTATCATTTCTGAATGGATTTTTTTTTTTTTTTTTTTTGCACCAAAATTTTCATTACGATGATTAATTAGGTGGAAAATTCTTACCTCTTTAAAAGAATATAAAAAGTAAATTAAATACGAAAAGAAAATTTCAAAGATCCATAACTTTACGCGAGAAAATATAGTGAAATTTCAATTTCAGTAATTTATCATTCTGCCCTTTAATAATTTATTTATTTCTCACATATTTTATCAAATTGTTTGTRCTTTCGTTATGGATTTGAAACAAATGTATTCGTTAAATTCTAGAATACGTCTCATGCATTATTTCCATCATTTGAAAAGTCCAAACAATCAAACTTATATCAAAAAAAGGAATTTTTCAATATTTTTTTCGATCTTAGCCGGCTTGATATCGAATATACCTCCGAAACGTTTGATGAAAATGTAGTGTTTTGCTCTGAGTTTAGCTTGACTGTAGGCAGAAAAAATAATTGTTTTTTATCGAAAATTGAACGCTGGATCACTAAAAATTATCTGAATATAATGGTGGCTTTACAAACAAAGTATTGGTTTATTTGCTGGAGAGGGAAAATATTTGACTTTTAGGAGACAATAAGGCGAATGAAATATTCTCAAGTTGGACAGCAAAGTGCGAAGTACTAGCAAGCGTTTTGAATTTCAATCTTTGATGTTTAGAAGTTACCTCGAATGCTTTCTTCGTTTTGTTCAGCTGTTTAAACCATTATATGACAGACAAAAGATAACAAATCAACACAGGGGTTAAATTTTACACATTAATGGCATTAAAAGGCAAAGTTTGTAGGAAAATCCTCACTGAACTCTTGCAAGTTATAAGCTTACTTACATAAATTCGATTTTGGGTTCACAGCAAGTACAATTATAAAAAACATATCGAAATGATAATATATCGACCTTCCTAATAGCAAGAAGAGCTACAATTTAAGSYCATATTTGCAAAAATAAGGYATTTTGTTTCTCTAAGTCATCTTGAAGCCGTTACCTCGTCCACGACTTTTATGTAGTAATCCGTCTTCAAAACTCGTCCCATTTTCTTTGAGAATTGGCTTGATTTGTGCCTGRTTCGGTAATGGCGGGAGCCTTCGKACACTAACTTGCCTTGTTGGTGAAGACATAGCTGTTTCTRAAGAAAGAACTTACAGACAAACCTAAAACTGTACAGGATTCCACTAAACTCTCTGCCATTGTTGTTTCCTTGGAGAAGTGCTTCGTATTTTGGATCAACTTCGGAGCACGCGCAAGTGTGTCGGCAACATGTCGGCAGCCAATCACCTTACATCAAAGCTATCGTAACAAAATCGGTTCACAATCGGTAAAGGAATTAAATCTTTGGGTTTTAATTATTTTTTGGGAATCCTTATTCAAATCAATTTTATCTTATCGCAAGCGAGAAAAGCTTTTAATACCGAGATTAGCGCTACAAATTACAATATAAGACGCAATATATTTTGACTAAAATCGTCAGTTTTCCCTGTTTCTGAAACCATGAAAAATATGATTCATAAATTATGAAAGGTACTCTTAAATGTAACTAGTGAAAAATCCCCTGCAGGGAGATTTTTTTAAACATAAATATTTCAAGTTTATTGTTTTGGGGATATCAGTTTCATGAAAAAAAAACATAATCGCAAATTTTATCCGCAAATTTTATCATTTTTAATTGTTTTATTTCTCTCTATTCACGAACATTGACAAAATGTACCGTTTTCCTGGAACCTCGCGAAWTATCAATACACTCTACGGCCGGAGAAGCAAGTAATTTTAAACAAATTTCCTGGYATTTTCAGGGACTCGTGAAGCTCAATTGATGAAGTTATGAATCATTTAATATCGTCCCGTTCTTCAACCATATGCTGGTCTTCAACCATAGCCGGTCCATACTGAAACCGATTTTTTTTTTAAATCCATCGAGGCAAGTATAGAAAATTACAAAACACGGTTGGTACAACTGGGGGGACGGTCAAATGAACACTAGAACTTATAATTCACGATGAAATTAATTGTGCGAAAAATTGCGCAATTTCAATGCCACGTTCATGCTAATAACTTACGGACTTRGCTTTCAAAAGGATTTTGGCAATGATATCCCAAATCTAATTCTCAAAGTGCCCTTAGGGTGCTCAAGGGTGATTAGTCTCAAAAGAGCTCTTCCACCTGTGCTATTAAGTACTCAGCGCAAATCGCTGTCATTTAAAAGKAAGAGTTGTAAGGAAAATGTCATCACAAATCACAATCTAGCAATCTAGGAAACGTGTATTCTCCGTAGAAGTTAAAATGATCAATTTTGTTAATGTGTTTTCAATGACATATGCGTCAAACCCAATTCCCTAGTCTCCTTCGCAACAAGTGTCTATCCAAAGTCACTYTCAGTGCTAACAAATGGGTAATGACCTGGGAACGACWACRGTTCTAACACCTCGGTTTATCCGACCGCCGCTCATTRKCCTTTGATAWTTTTTATTAAGCTATAAAAATACTGATAGATTATTACAACATATTCTTCGAAAATATATTCMTATATTACATTATTCATTTATTTTTATCTCTACTGCGAGTAAAACTTTGTTTCTGCAAACTCGTATTTTGTGATTGGCTGTAGCTACGGCATAACTAAACACTGTCTTCGGTCAAATCACGTTTGTTTGATCTACATTGGTGTTTGATAAAGTATTTCAGGAAAAATTGCCGCCCGTGAATCCTCCAAGCTAGTAGCGCAAGGTATCATGGGTTCTTCGGTCTCTAAATACTTTTTGATTTGGAAAAACATTGCACTGACGTCAAAGCTACAAACTTAAATATAATTTGATCATTTGACATCAAATGACTTCTTTTGTATGTGGATTCTAAATAAGTGTCAACATGTACTACATGTTTGACAACTGTCATCGATTTGCACTGATAGAGTGAAGTACATTTCCTTAGAGAATRTTTCACGCCTCCAATACGCCATGCGATATTATTGGTCAGCTGTTATTCGCTTCTTTGGTTCACTAAAGGGGTTCACCCATAACGTACTAAGGCCTTTGGCTTCCTGAAAAGGCACAGAGTTGGACGTAAGATATCAGATATACAGCTATTTCAAAAAAAGTTGTCGGGGAGAACGGCCAACGGCGATTGTGGAAGGGAGATTGCACGACCGAAAGGGACACACAAATGGTTACACTGTTTTGAAAAACAAAATTTCACTTATTGGATTCACCTTACATAGAAATGGAGACTAAATGAGCGTGCATTGATAGAAACCTTCTTTCACACCTACAGACAATTATTCACAGGTATCTATCATTGCACGCTCAACGTTTGTCTCGCTTCGATGTAAAGGCACGGCTACCTTTCAAGATGGCGCACGTAACCGTGATGGAGACTATTCTATTGTATTTATGACATATAAAACGGCGCTCGTGTCTCCGTCCTCTGATATAAACACGGTGGGAGTTGAAAAATACCGAGAGAAGCAAGCTTTTAGAAACACGTGTGTACGAAGCAACAACAAACAAATTTTATCATGTCTCTGTCTTCTGATATAAACACGGTCGTCAGCCAATCAGAGCGCGCGTTATATATCAAACATTTTATAAATAAATATAAAAGATTGCGGTAAACGACGTCACAGCCAGAAGAAACTTCATAATACCTTAATGGAGCATGTTTCCTCTAGTCCTTGTAGCGACAACGGGACTTCTATGGGAGGCAACCTGAAGATACAAGACCAAAGCTTTGATACGTATATACTCCAAGCAACGCACTTTCGCCAAATAGGACCGTTATTCTTTATCTATTCCTCTCGGACTGTGGTATAGTCCCTTCAGCATCTTCAATTGTAACAGTGCCTTTGCATCGAGGCGAGACGACCGGGTGAGTGTGCAATGTTCACAGGTATCTATCATTGCACGATTCGTYTCGCTTCGATAATAAGGCACGTTTAGATTTCAAGATGCCGCAGAGAATCGTGAAGACTACTTCCTCGACAATCCCGAGWGGCATGCTGCACTTTCTATCAATAGTACTGAGTTTTATAATGTTTTTCCTGCCCTTATGACGTCACGTTTTGGAGGAAGGCATCATGGGATTGCCGAAATTATCAAGATGGCTGTTCGAATAATGGAGTTTGTGCGAAATTATTGTTACCCGTTTTCGAGGATGATTTAGAAGAACATGTTTATTTATGCCTGCATAATATTACTAGAACATACTTAAAAACAGTTTCTTGGCAATACAACGTGCTTTGTTGCTAACAAAACAGACTCACAAACATCAACTTGTCATATGTCGGTACTTTCTTCAATCCCATGATGCATTTAACCGGAAAACGCATGACGTCATCAGGAAAAAGAGAATTTGTATTTACCGTTCGTATTGCTGTGTTATAAAGCTTTTTTCCTGTGTTACTCGAGGGCGCAGTGCTGAGTCACCACTGCTTGTTGAACCTGTTCCATACATATACAAATGCTGCATTAGTATCTATTGCACTGGAAAAAATCGCGCGCCATAAAGGTTGTAAATTTGATGGAAATATGATGTAAGTGTCCAAAATGATGTAAATTTGATGGAAATCATTTTCATCAAATTTACATCATTTTGGACACTAACATCATATACATCAAATTTACAACCTTTAAAGCGTGCGATTTTTTCCAGTGTTGAATGGAGTCTCCGCTTTTTAGCTTTGGAACTAAGAATATTGTTAGAATACGTCTCCCTGACATTGGGTTCATAAGTTAATAGGAGACCTCAATTTAAGTGTTTCGTCACCAGTTTTATAGTTTGGTTTAGAAATTGAAATATGTCTAGTCATGTACTTGTAGTTTTAAATTACCAGGAAAAATAGTTTTGAGTTACCAGTAGCTTTAATGTTCAGCAATTTTTACGTTGTAGGGTTAAGATCAATATATTGAATTTACAGAATGATTGTGAAATGTTCAAATATCATTATTATTGTATTTTTTAGAAGTAATTATTTTAGTTTAAGTTTATGACGCAGTGTAAAAATGTTCACGTGATCGATATCTGTAGAATTAGCCAAAGTCTTCCTGAACGGGGAATTCCCCTCAGTATGGAGTTATGCCATAATTGGTTATTGTTTTAGTTAGTATCAAATTATTATTTGGGTTTCGTCTAATTTTGTAAAACGTATATAAAGCAATGTTATGTAAGAATAGTAGTAGTTAGTTCGTCCAKAGCGTCATGTAGTAAGAAGCATGTAGTAATAAAGCAAAACACAGCAGAAACTAAGAGGAACGTTTTCACTGCCGCGACGGTCCCTTGTGGTCCAACAATRTGAAATTCCAACAATGCATATCGGCTGTTCTGCTGGATTTCAGATGACGTCACGGAAGCTATATTGGTGCCACACTCAGTCTTTCACAAACCCGGCTTCCTTATAGGCGCTCGGCCTTCTGTTTTTAAAATCTCTAAAAAAAAAAATGATCTTAAAATGATAAAGCCATACTTTTGTCCTCGTCGTCATCTTCTTCTTGTTTTGCTTCAGAATCATGAGCCTGTAGTGCAGCTGTTGTCAGCGGYAATGCTTTTACTTTAGGTTCCATGTCGTGATACTAGAACAGAACGAAAATACTAAAAATATCAAAACACTGAACTACATATTGGAAAAGCAATGAAATAAAGCACTTGGAAATGTTGACGCAAAAGGCACAAAGGACTTGTAAAACTTTCAGTTTTTTTCGTGTTCCCCAACTTCCCGCGTTCTTAGTTCACCTATAAACTGTAGTAATTCATCAATTATTGCTTTTAAAAAGATGGTCGAACTTCTCCTATTCTATAAGCCCGGTTCATACGCCAAGCCATCGTCGCGTCAAAAGCAAACATTTTTTGGAATCCGGAATCTCAAGGCTTGGAATTCGGAAACCAATGTTTCGGGGTGCAGAATCCAGCGCTTGGAATTCGCAATCCCGAAATTCTCTGTATTCTCTTACATAAGGCTAGATGCGACGACACTGGTGAAAAACGCACTGCGCATGTCCACAGCTTTCCCGCTTAGATCTCCCTAATTTTCTTTGTAAGCGATTTTTGTGAAAGTTTTTTACAATTTATAAGCTCGTTCACCGATATATAAGATTCATATTTCCATCAATCATTGTTCATGATAGGTCCTTTTAGTATGTAGTTTCTACTTTTATCTTGCTATTTCTACTTTGAGAAAATGAGGATTTTCGTAGTGTTTTCTGTGTTGTCGCTGTAAATCGCCAGGCGCTCTGTTTACAGATTTCAAGACGCGCGCGCTCACTGACGGGAAAGCTGTGGGCATGCGCAGTGCGTTTTTCACTAGTCTCAGATGCGACGATTAGCATGACATATGGACCAAGCCTAATATACAAATCAATCCCTACCCCTACCCCCTCAGTAGGTGTTCACTCACCAGTAGTTCGCTGACAGGTGTAGAGCCAACTAATTGATTGAAACTAAACTTTTTATTTCTCTCCATTAGCCTAAGTGGTAAGAATTTGGGCGTCAATTAGTGTCAATTATCGCTATAAACGAAGCGGAAATTCTCTATCTCACGGAAAATGAAGGGTTTTAATATGCAGTTTATACTGTCTGGCTTTTGTGATATAGATGATATTTTTACAACAAAATCATCATTATATCGATTAGATTTCGGGGATCTTTTTCGYCCAATATATCTTTTATTTCCATTCAATTTATTTGTAGACTTAACCTATAGTTATATACTYAATTTTTGGATTATTTATCGTTGAAATAAGATGTTTGGAAATGATAAAAAATATAGCTTAATCACCTGAGCTTTAAAATCTCAACATTAAAAAAAATGTTTCGGTGTTTTTTTCCCCAAATATCGCTCAAAAATATAATAACATGACAATTAAAATGCGGCAAAATGGAGTAGGATAAATGCCAATTATYCTTTGAAAAATAATGTTAAACTTCGAGGAATTCGTAAAATTGTGTCGATTGACCGTTTTTACAAAGAAACAAAACAACATTGATAACATTGTAAGGGAAGGCTAAAAAGCTATGAGGTACCCATAAGAGGTAAGGAGACTATTCATATCACTGACCGAATCGCGTGCAACTCTACAATACGTGCAGCTATATATAGATCGCAATTATTTGTATGTATAACGCTACATCACGGCACCTCTACAATACTGGCAGCTATACTATATAGCTGCCAGTATTGTAGAGGTGCCGTGATGTAGCGTTATATGAATAGTCTCCTTCGCGACCAACCATTTTGTCGTGCTTCCTGTCCCCCTATAATCGGCTGCGGAGGAGACTATGATATGGATAATCACCGTTGTGTCGCTGCTCTGTTGGCTAACGCGTGTGAAAACATTGTCAGAAGCTTTGATCGGGTGTCTCGCTTTGCTGTTTCTCTTCTTTCTAGTTCTAGTTCTCTTTCAATCTAAAGAAATTGAGATTGTACTGTTAGGGCATTAGACTTAGAGGGGAGTGCATGGGGAGTTACTTGTGCCATTATAGGCAAGGCACTTTGCCAAACGTCAAATTTTCTTTCAAGTTTTGTCTTAAAATTTCACAATCCTAATAATGATTGTTAGTATTCATATTGTTTCTGTTGTGTTGCTACTGATAGTGTTGTTATGGCCTTTTTACTGCTGTTGTTGTTGTTGTTTTTGCAGCTGTTGTTGCTGCTGTTGCTGCTGTTAAGCCTGGTTTTCACTACGGCTTAATCCTGAGCCCAATGCTAAGCGCAAGTGCGCAAGGCTCATAAACACGGTGAAAACGGACCCAACACAAGTCCAAACTTAAACGCAAACCGAAACACAAATGTTTCCTTGTCTTGCGCTTACGTTTGGGGCTGCGTTTTCTCGCACTTCGATGCTACGTTAGTGAAAACGTAGCCTGCGTCACATCCGGACAAACCATGGTTAGTCACGTAGTTTGTCCGGATGTGACGCAGGCTATGAAAACGAAACCCAAACGCAGACGCAGTGTCTCGACCAATGAAAATACTAGTGCCAGTCTTGTAAGTGCATTGGCAATAGGATGTTTCTTGTTGTGCGTTATTGGGCTTGTGTTTCGTTTTCACACGATATTTGTCTTTAAGTTAGGGTTTAGGCTTGCGCTTAACATTGGACTTAGGTTTAAGTCGAAGTGAAAACCAGGCTGTTGTCGCTTTTGTTGTTGTTGTTGTTTTCTGTTGTTGCTGTTGTTATTGTTGCTGCCGCTACTATTGTTTGTTACTGTTTTTTGTTGCTGTTGTTGTTGTTTTCTGTTGTTGCTGCTGCTATTGACGTTGTTGTTGTGTTGCTGTTGTTGCTGTTGTTATTGTTGTTGTTATTTTTGCTGATTTTCTTTATTTTTAAATTCAAGTTTGCACCTCTTCTGGATCCGGTTCTTGTTCACCAAATACTAAAGTATATGCAGCCAATGCTGGAAACTCCACCTGAAATTGAATCAAAGTATCATTACATTTACAGTTATGTGAAAAGATAAATTTAACACCGTAAAAAAGKATGTGGAAAAACTTACTGACGTTTYGGATGTTAATCCTTCGTCGGAGTAAAGAGAGAGAACTAGGTAAAGTGTGAGTTTATATAGTAAGAGTAACAAAGAGAATAGACCAATAGGAGCAAGGTAGGCATGGTGACGAGAAATAAACAAAAAAGCAAAGGAAGTGTTAGACAAAAGAACAATAAAGGTGCTAAAAAGGAAACAAAAGAATTAAAACTTATCTGAAAACAAAGCGTTCATTCAACCCATGGGGATTATAAGTGCCCAATTGGTGAATAAGCCGCATTTCTTTGGTTTTGCGACAATCATTATTGCCGCTAATCAAAGACAAACCAAAAACAATAAAGTTAGAAATAGAGTGGTTGGGTAAGTTAAAATGGCGGGAGACAGGCTTATCAAGATCATTCTTACGAATACTACGAAGATGTTCACAGATACGATCGCCAAGACGACGGCCAGTCTCACCGACATACAACAAATTACAAAGCGAACATTTAATGCAATAGACAACATTAGAGGTGGTACAATCAAAGTGATCAGTGATTTTGAGTGACGAGTTAGGACCAACAATGGAAGTGTGCGAGACAATGTACGGACAAGTGTTACAGCGCTTGCGTGAGCAACGAAAAGTGCCAGGATCATTATTAGAATGTAAAACACCTTTGACTAGGAAAGAACGAAGGTTACGGTCACGTTTATTAGAAAAAAGGGGTCGGTCGTTGAA